TCTGGAAGGGTCTGTGCGGGCCCTTGGTGGGGTTGAATTTCTGGGAAGGTCTGTGCGGGCCCTGGGTGGGGTTGAGTTTCTGGGAAGGTCTGTGCGGGCCTGGGTGGGGTTGAGTTTCTGGAAGGGTCTGTGCGGGCCTGGGTGGGGTTGAGTTTCTGGAGCCACCTTGTTCTTGCTTCCTCTTGTGCTGCCTTCCAGAGAGCATTCACTACAGACTGCCCCTCATGGGCCCCCGGACAGCTGTCTTCCACGGGCTGCTGTCAGATACCTACCGAGCTCTGGAGAAAACCCAGAGCTCCTCACGCAGAAAGGCACCAGTGGGAAAGACCGTGAAGCAATGAGTGGCCGACTTCCAGGGACCAAACAGCTCCCCAGCCGCCTCTACCCCAGGGCCTCTGCGCAGTCTCTTCAACTTTGGCATGACGCTTGCTGATACGCTGGGCCTTGACACCTGCTTTCTAATCCTTCCTACAGAGACAAGACAATTTAACCGCCTGGAGATAAGGATTTATTGATTAAAATGGAGTATGATGAGAATATCTTGGTCTTTTATTGTTATTATAGAGGTGATGTGCAGAGGTGTTACACTTTTATTATTTTTGGGGGGGGGGTCTGGTCATGGGGCCTGAACTCTGGGCCTGGGCACTGTCCCTCAGCTCTTCAGCCAAAGCCAACACTCTACCACTTGAGCCACAGCGCCACTTCCGGCTTTTTTCTTTTTGCTTATGTGGTGCTGAGGAATCGAACCCAGGGCCTCATGCATGCAAGGCAAGCGCTCTACCACTGAGCCACCTTCCCAGCCCGGTGTTACACTTTTAGAAGTCAGATAATTACCACATTTCTTTTGGGCCTATGTGATCCCTTCCTTCACACTCTGTCTTGTTTTAGTAAAGGATTGCATGCATGTTAAAACATGACATCCTTTTGATTCAAAAACATGTTTTCTATGAAAGTCACTTTGGCCTTCCTTCAGAGAGAGCTTGGGCAGGCCCCTCATGAATTCAGCTTACTAAAAAAAAAAAAAGAAAGGGAGGTTGCTCCTTTGTAGCTATTTCTGTCCATTAACTCTGACATATGACAGCAAGCACCAGAAAATGGCCAAAGTCAGAACTTGTCAAAACCCCTGAGCGCAGGATCCATCCCTCACTATCCACACATCACCAGCTTGCGTGCTTTGCGCATGTCAGATGCTCGGTCCATCTTTGCTCATTCAAATCCATACCGACGGCTTGTGGTTTCGTTACTTTGCTTTGAGGATGTGTGTTTCCAGATTCGTCCTGGTTTCGTGAGCACCAGGTGTGAGGAAGACATCAGAAGCATCCGGGCTGGGGCTGGAATGGAGACCCCACCTGTCACCGTACTGCGTGGGAGGGGGGGTGGATAGACCTCTCACAGTCTGAGACCAGCCAGGACACAGGCTCATGAGACGCTAGCTCAAAAGTCAAACTTGGCTGAGGGAAACGGCTTAAGAGATAAAGGTGCTTAGCTACCAAGAGAAGGGAATCCTAGCTTGTAAATATTACACGGTGGACCCACACGTTCCATGCTCAACTTCTTCAGGATTTGAAATAAAAACCCTCTATTGCTGGGGAGGGAAGGGGCTTGTGGAACCTCAGGTCCTGGCTAAGTAGACACTGGACCAACTGGGGGACCAGCCTCTGGTCCAGCTACATGTGATGAATGCACTCCAGAAAGCTTTTTTAAAAACATGAGGTGTGTAAACCTTAATTCTCAAACAAACAAAAAAAATCAGACAAAAATTTCATAGTCCTGTAGTCCATCAGGTACGGTGTGTTAGTTTCCAGGTCAGTGGGAGTTCACCTGAAAACACTACCAGAAATCCTAATGTCCGCACAGACAGATCACAGATAATATTTCTTTAGCTGTGGTTGGGTTTTTAAAACTTAAAATATCCAGCGAAAGAATTTGTGGTACCTGTACCACACCTGATGCACACTTGTCACAGTGTTGTAGGGAATCAAGGTCTTATATGGCTAGTGAGATAGACTGCTTTCCAAGTCGCATTAATAGGTCTTCTTTAGCAAGCCACTGGTAGCTCACGCCTGTAATCCTAGCTAGTCAGGAGGCTGAGACCTGAGGATCCAGACTCAAAGCCAGCCCAGGCAGGAAAGTCTGTGAGAATCATCTCCAATTAGCCACACACACACACACAAAGCAAGAAGTAGAACTATGGCTCAAGTGGCAGAGTGCTAGCCTTGAGCAAAACAGAAAAAAAAAATCCAGGGTTAACACATAGGCCCTGAGTTCAAGCTCCTAAACTGGCATGCACACACACACACACACTCACACACACACGCACACATGCACGCACACACGCACGCACACACGCACACGCAAAGTCTTCATCTAAAGTAATAGGATATTTGTAAACATTTCCTGATACTTGCTCATGTGATGGCAGAGCATACTGTGACATACTACAAAGGGCTCCCAAAAGGCTGTGTATTCAATTGGGAGGTCGTGGAAACTTTCAGAGGTGAGAGTCAAATGTGTGCAAGTCACTACGAGTGTGCCCTTGAAAGAGGCACTGGACCATGGCACCTCTTCCTTCCCTTCTTCTTTACTCTCTTCCCTCCTCTCCCTCTTTCCTTTTCTCCCTCCCTCTCTGTGTTTCTGTCTCTCTGTCTCTGTCTCCCTGCTTCTCTCCACCTCTTGGCTACTTTCTCGACTTTTCTATTACAGATTTATACTCCAACGAGGCCAACGAGGGACCAAAACCTTGGAAACCATGAGCCAAAATAAACCTTTTCTCCTTACAAGTTATTTTATCTCCGGTACTTTGGAAAGGTGTAAGCAGAAAGGAGAATCTGTATCATTGGTTCTGAAACATTTTGGTTTCAGGAACATTTTTCACTCTTCAATATTAAGAGACTTAAAGAACTTTTTTTTAAAATGGTTATAGATAGATAGAAAGAGAGATACCACATTAGAAATTAAAATACAGACAATGTTAAAATGTGTTCATTATCTGGAGAATGATGACATTATTATGTGTCATGTGAACTCCAGAGAGTCTCACCAAATTTGGATAAGAAGAGTAAGAAAGGCGAATGCGTGCCCATGTGCAGACTGTAAATAACTGTGACTAGCAGATAGACAAGAATGCTTCTGGAGACGCAGCGGTTCCCAGGTCATACTTCAAGTACTTTTTTGTTGTTGTTATTATACAGGGGATGTTCAGCGGTCAGGGTCCTTTAACACACCCACCAGACAGTACTATCAGCCTCATTTACTTCCCTTTGCTACCTAACAACGTCATATAATTGCATTTTCCCTAGTGACCTAGTAAGGATATACTGGGCTGACCAGCCTGGTTCAACAAAAAGTCTTGTTGAACTCTCATGTCTGTTTGTGAATGGTTATTAATTAATTTTCATTTTGGTTAATGCAAATTCATTTCCCAGAATTGAAGATCAAAACTGGATCTAGTCTGTCCTTAGAACAATAGTGAACGTGCATCAATAGCTTTCTTGAATGTGTATCCAGCCACAAATGTTTCTCTTTACTTTGTACCTATGGCCAATCACTGGAGAATAGTCATACACAGGGAAGAACTTTCTAGACTAAGCTGTCCACCTCTGATGTATCTCTCCATATGACTAATGCAATGTTACCATTTCAATTAAACTCACAAAAAAGATCTGCAGGCATAACCCCTGATTTTTCTCTATCAGTTGTGTATTTAAATCATCTCTTGGCCAGGCACCAGTGGCTCACGCCTGTAACCCTAGCTACTCAGGAGGCTGAGATCTGAGGACTGCTGTTTGAAACCAGCCTGGGAAGCAAAGTCCATGAGACTCATCTCCAGTTAACCACCAAGCAAAAACAGAAGTGGAGCTTTGGTTCAAGTGGTAAGGTGTTAGCTTTAAGAAAACAAAATGCTCAGGGACAATTCACAGGCCCTGAGTTCAAGCCCCACTACTATTATACATGCATGCACATATGCATGTATGTGTGCATACACACACACAAACACACACACAAAGAGCAAAACAAAAAAAATCATCTCACCAAACAAACTCAAGTCCTGTTTATGCTGTAGGGGACTGTATCCTTCTTGGTCCAATCTTTTCTGTACTGGTTTGGTAATACTTTGAAGTTGCCAGTTATTATTTTACCTACTGTATGTTTTTAAGTAACATCCAAAAATCTCTCAGAAATGGGCCTGGCCCATTTCTTCCCTATGAAAATCTACTTGTAATGTTATTCTTGGTTCCGAGTCATGTATAATTCAAACCAATTTTTTTTCTTTTTTTCTTTTCCAGTTGTGGGGCCTGAACTCTGGGCCTGGACACTGTCCCTCAGCTCTTCAGCTCAAGGCTAGCGCTCTACCACTTGAGCCACAGCACCACTTCTTGCTTTTTTTTTTCTGCTTATGTGGTGCTGAGGAATCGAACCCAGGGCCTCATGCTTGCAAAGCAAGCCCTCTACCACTGAGCCACCTTCCCAATCCCTCGTATTTGCTTTTCAAAACTAAAAAAAATCTTAGGAAAATAAAAACCCACAAACATGTCAGGCTTGTTCTTTTTTTTTAATTATTCCAACAGGGAACTTAAAAATCAGTGTGTGTAATTCCTTTATTGCTAGGAATGGTAAGAGTTGCTGTATTCTGAAAAACCATCCTTGCAGCTTAAAAACCATAGAGATATTTAACACAAGACGATGGTCACATCTAGTCCTCAGCTCTTACCCTTGGAAAAGCTTCACATCACTACTGTCATATGTTCTGCTCAGGCTCACTTATATGCTCTTTGACTTCTGATAAAGTTCAACAGAAGTCTGTCAGGAGCCTGTCTGCCTCCTAGTGGTATTATAGATTGAGCTGCCCAGTGTCTTAAATATGTCTAGGAACTGCCTAACTCCATGTAGTCGAAATATAACAAATTATCTATTCTCCTTGTTTCCTTCTAATGAATCCTCTATTAAGAATGTAGTTGCTGGGCTGGGAAGGTGGCTCAGTGGTAGAGTGCTTGCCTAGCATGCATGAGGCCCTGGGTTCAATTCCTCAGTGCTACATAAACAGAAAAAGCTGAAAGTGGTGCTGTGGCTCAAGTGGTAGAGCGCTAGCCTTGAGCAAAAGAAGCTCAGGGACAGTGCCCAGGCCCTGAGTTCAAGGCCCAGGACTAGCAAAAAAAAAAAAAAGAATGTAGTTGCTGAAGTTGGGGGAGGGGGGCTTGGAGACATCACTCACCAGAAGAGGAGATTTCTAGAAGAAGAACCATGGGGTTTGTTTCTATTAATAAACCTATAAATGAAAATCCTTAAGCATCAGAGTTAATTCAAAACTAGAAATGGGTAAAATTAAACTAACCCTTAGAGAAAAGGAGGGTGGTTAGTTCTGCTTCCAAATCATGTTAATTCTGCATCTTATTAAATCCTGTCCCTGTCTCATACATGTAATTTCTAACTCTAGGAAAAATGTATGGCCACGAGGATCACAGCATCCCATGCTGGTAGTGTATCTGTGTAAGATGCTCAAATCGACTTGAGAGGTA